ACCAAGATAACATAAAAGTCTTCACTTGTGCACTTTGTTACTTATGCTAAGTATCCTGAAGCTTCTTTATGGATGGCCAGTCATGTACTGCTGGTACAGATTATGTGCACTCAGGTACTGCGGCTGGGCCTGGATACTGTGGTGGTTGCGTGGTGGAATTGTGGCTGAGGGATATTGTCAGCAGAAGTATTCGTTGGGCTGTCCCTCAATCTTAGCCGTGGACTCCGAGTCTAGGCTGGACCGGGCCGACAGCAGTCTGTTGGACTCCGCTGCATTCAGTCTGTTGAGATATTCCCCTTCCAAGCCTTTGGCCTTGGTGCTGGGAGACAGAGTCTCAAACGTAACATACGAGTCCTGAATGTCTTTGGACTTTTTGCCCAGAAACTTCTTAATTTTCCTCTTAAGTGCCCCGCAGCACACGATCACAGTCAGAGCTATCACGCAGGCAACCGTGATTACTACTACATTAATGAGCTTTTGGGTTCCATTAGCACTTGCCGCTGCATCTGTTGAGAAGATTACACACTGCTCCTTTTTGGGGATCAGCCCCTTGACGCACACACAGGCAATGTATTTGGTTTTTGGAACCAGTCCCTCAATGATGATCCGGTTGTTGCCTGGACTGACGTTAATTCTGCGCATATCCCTCTCGCCAAACACAGCGTAGAGGACGCTGAAAGCTGTTGTGCTCTTGGCGGTCAGTGCCCTCCAGTTCAGACACACAGTGTAGTCCGTATCGCCAATCACTTTCACCGAGCGCACAATCCTATCAGGGTCTTGCTGCAGTGAGGATGTGTTTGCGGCCAGGTTGCTCAGATTGGTCTCTAAGAACCCATCAGGACTGGCCGTTTGGGTATTCGTCCGACTGTTAGCGGCATTGTCGCTTTCCATACCTGGATATGGGCCTGTGTAGCTCACGGTGGCACCAAGTGGTAGTGCATTGTTGGGTGTTGGGGAAACATATGTGGCGATGTGTTTTTCTTGATAGGCTGCCTTGACTATTGGGTTTGGCTTCTTGGACTTTACTTTGGTTTTTGGATCCACAGTCGGATTCTCAGCTTTGGGAGCATCGCTTATGATCAAAGAAATGACGGCTTCTGCACTCCCTGCATAATTTGTTGCTTTGCAGATGTATTTTCCCGTGTCACGATAGGACACGGCAGGCACGCTTAAAATAGACCAAACTATTCCCTCCTTCGAATTCTCCAGTTGAGCTGCAAAATTTGGAGGAAAAAAGCAGAACGCTTGAGTACATTCACTCAAAATGCAAGAATTAATTAGTATTGTGTAATCACAGTGCATTGTTGTGTCCGTACCAACAGTGTAATCACTGTGCATTAGCACTTCTGGCTAATGCTGCTTAGCTGCCCGCCACTGTGCTGACTCACCTGTCCCATTCAGTGGCTTCCCATCTGCCCTTCTCCACGCCAGATCAGGGATGGGAACCCCAATGGTTCCGCATCGCAGTAAGACATTGTTGCCCACTATGCTCCTCACCCGGGCTACGGCCGTGTGGACGCGAGGCCCCTGGCAGCGCCTGAGCTCAGCATCGCTAAACAGAACTCCAGAGAGGCTCTCTGGATCGGCGCACCTGAGCCGCGTATCAATGAAAGCCACCGACAGACTGGGAGACTTCTGGAACTGGACCAGGTCGTATAATCGACAATCGCACAACCAGGGGTTGTCATGAAGACCTGGGGCAAAACAAATGTTCAGTGGCAAGTTACAACAAAACTCTTAAATTAAGAAAATCTTTATAATTGTAATAAAAAGTTATAATTGTAAGAGCATTTCCTCTAAAAGTTTTCTTAAGAAATTAAGTGATTTTCTTCATCTTAATGTATTTTTATGCAAGACTTTGCATTTTTATATAAAAATACACTGAAAAAATGGTGCAGGATTTACTTTGAAATGATTTTCAGTCATAAATTGCTAGTAAATTTCACAAATAATTGCAAAGAAAAGGCAAGTAACACTGAATTAAACAGGAAATTTAAGAAAACTGCAAAATACTTTCTACTGAAAGTAGAAACTGCAATATAATCTACATAAAATATAATTTTATAAATAAAAAAAACTAACACTTGCTTTCTAATCTTTTGGTATTCTATCTGTTTTCTTTTCATTTATTATACAATTAACAAAAGCAAAAAAGACCTCTAACACTAGCTTGCTCTATTCTTTTTCTATTCTATCTGTTTTCTTTTTATTTATTATATTATTTTTTAAAAACTTGCTATGTGTACTGCGTTAAGCTAACTGAGACTTGTTATAGCAGTTGTATATCATTGCTCTTTTGTTGATTTTGATTGCTTCCATTGTCCTCATTTGTAAGTCGCTTTGGATAAAAGCGTCTGCTAAATGACTAAATGTAAATAATTTAATATACAAATATACAAAATATATAATATATATAATAACCTCAATATATTAAATTAAGAAAAGAAGACAAAGTAAAAACTTGCCAAGGATCATTTTTGAACTTTCTGCTCCCTGGATGGGTTTGACTGTCAACCAAGTACTGAGGACCTCAGATGGTACTGTCAGCAGATTATTGCTGGATAAATCCAGGTAGGTTATATTTTTCAGGTAGGGAGCAGCCTCAGATGGTACTGAGGACAGCTGGTTGTTGTGTACATCGAGTAGCCTCAGACTGGGCATGTCCATAAGGGATTCCCACGGAAACGAAGTGAGCGAATTTCCATCGAGCCTTAGTTCCTCTAAACTGTACAAGCCCCGGAAACTGTCCGAGTTGAGAGAGGATAAAACGTTAAAAGACATCCAAAGGAATTCTAAGTTAGAGAGGTAGCTAAAAGCCTCGCTCGGGATCCTCTTAATGGCAGTCTTTTCAATCCGAAGTTTCGAGGTGTCGCCTGGGAACGTGGCGGGCACCAGGGAAATCTCGGGATCGTTGCAAATCACGCTCCTGCAAAACGCATTAGAAACAAAAATAAAGAGTGATAAGCAGGGATTTGAAAGCTTGCGCACACGGATCTTTAAAACCAGTGGTATTTGACTGATGCTACAAATGCTTGTAAAAAATCAGAAATTTTGAACGTTAGTCATTATTGGTCAAAATGTACACATATTGCGCAATGAAAATGGAAGTTCTGGTTTTCTTGATTTAATTGACTGAAAAAATAGACTGAATTTAAATTGCCATATTTTAAAACTCTAAGAAATACTAAAATAAATTAATACATACGTACATATATTTTGTATGTAAATATCCTCAACTGTATTACACACAATATGTAATGTATAAAATAGCCAGAGTGTGGAATGCGCAAAAACCATATGGAGGGGGTGGTGCATTGCATGAATTAAATACAGTTGAGATAATAAAATACAGACTCACCTGGCTCTTGATCCATCACTCAGGTTATGATAAAAGCAGCTGCATTGGGAAGGACAGGTGCTCCGAACAAGTGGAAAGCCACCAGATGCCAGTAGGAGACCCAAAAAGACAGTAAGAGACATATCGCTACTAGTGTCAACAAAACACCGCTGACCGTAATTTTAATGAAGGACCATCCACTTGCAATTATGGGGAAAATAACCAGCATGTCATCGTCGCTCTGCTCCGATGTCCCATAGTGATCTGACTGCTACGAGTCCAGCAGATAAAAAGGACAGATGAGGATTAGCGAAGGCATGCGCGTTATTTTCATTTAGATGCGGATGCATCTTGGAATCTGATAGGCTACACAGAGATACAGCTGTTAATTATAGGGAGAAAATATTTCTGAATTGGCCATAATGTTGAATACCCATCCCCCATCTAGCTCTAATCTTCTACCTGACAGCTAAACTATGAAATTTGTTGCCTCACTTAGATTGCGTAAGAGCTGATGATATTTTAGAAGCTGGTCAATTCTGGCTGTACCAGTCACTATCGCCTAGGTATTTTTTTGCACTGAACATAGGGGAGACCAGGGAATGTTGAAAGATTTTGTTTCAACATCTGTTGGGGTAAAAAAAAAACATGATTTATTTCTCTGTTGTAAATAGCATTTCCATATTTGCCTGCTTCAAAATTAGTTTATCGATTACTTATCCCTGTAATAATGAATGTGCAAAGTATCATCAGCATGAGAGTTGTCTCTCACACTAAGGACGTCCAATTTTGTGCACAGTGTTTAGTGGCTTGTCCGATAGGATTTTTATCCCTCTGGTGTTGTTCGGTCATTTTAGACCGGAATTTTTTTTTTAATTATTATTATAATAATCGCTAGGCCTACTTCATCGGAATGGTGCGAAACTTGATTACTTTTATGGCAGTCGCTATGTGACCAAAAAAAATAAATTAATGGATTAGAAAAATCTAAATGGTCATAAAAAAAAGTGACACTTGTGTTTTTGACCGTCAATGGGAAATACGCAAAAATACGAAAATACAGAGAATTTTTGTGTTTACAATCTACAAATCATTCACGATGCAGAAAAAAAGTGCACAGCAATGAAGGGGTGTCACTCTAAAATATCAAGTGCAAAATGTTGAAACCAACATTTCAAACAAAAAAATCTAAACCTTTACAAAAAGTTGTCTTTGAGAATGTCTAAATATATATCTAAATCCACAACTTAATAAAAATAAGTATTTATGTCTAAAAACAACTACAGAATTAATAAACCTTTTACATAGAGCGTTATGAATCTAGTGGATAAACCATGGAATTGCAGAAGTTTTTTTTTTTTACTCCCATCAGATGGAACTAATCTGCCTTCAAAAATTTGATTTTTTATTTATTATTTTTAGACAGGTGAGTCTTTATTTTAACATGAAATACTGCCAATTGAAAAGTAATATAAAAATATTAGAAAAAAAGTATTATTTTCAATGTGAAAAACTGATCATAATTATTGCATAAATATTAATGACTATAATGAAATTCTCTCAAAATACAAAAGAAAAAATATGATTGAACAAAAATATATTGCATTGATTTTACTGTAAATGAGCAATACCAGAGAGTTAAAACATTTTCCTTCATGTAATCCTAACCCCAAGTAATTTTCTCGTGTTCAGTCTGGCCATGGCAGATATGGGTATTTCTATGAACGCCACTGTTGCTGCCTTCTCCAGTTTTCTGAGGTGAGCACGCGCAAGTCTGTGTTGATGTTGGTGTTGTTGTTGACGGACCCCCTAGAGGTGATGCTGCGTCAGGGATGTAGTAGTGTGTAAATACAGCTGTGATGTAATGCTGCTGAAGAGGGGTCTTTTTTCGTAATGAATGACTAAAGTGCAGCTGTTGGGGTTGCAGGATTTTATAATTTTTTTTAGTCTTTTAATCACATCCCAGCTAAAGTAAATAATAGCATAATCCAGCCTGGTTGAAAAGGTGATTTACTGGTTTTAGCTGCTTTCCCTGGTCTGGTCAGACTGGTCTGTTGGCTGGTTTTATAGAGGTTTTGGGCATTTTCGGCATTAGTTTTCCAAGTTGGAAATTGGCTAGTGCAAGCTGATAGACCATTTTAGACCAGAAGCAAATCGGCTGTTTTTTTTTTTTGAAAACTGTAGCAGGCTAATGAGCAGTTTGGGCCAGAAACCAGCTACCATGTTCCAAAACACAGATATGTTAGATTTCCAAATTTACTGATACAAGCAAGGATGTGATCAAATATTTAAGATAGAGGAAACAAGTTAGAAAAATGTCATTGAGAAAAATACATTACACATCACGATTAATTTAATACTATTATTACAGATAAACAACATAAGCAATGCTAAACATCAACCAGCAAACTTTGATATTTTTTAATACTTTATCTTCTTGAAACTCCAGATACTGGCCTTACGGATCAGCCGGATGCCAGACCCATGGCTTCCAGGGCTTTATGACTGCTCTCGCCAGCATCCATTTTATTGCAGCCATTGCTTGGGACAGATACCACCAGTACTGCACAAGTGAGTAACAGAGAAGTAAAAGAAAGAATAAGATGCTTCTCACCACTTCAATAGGATATTTGACATGCTTTGTTATAGTTCAACCCACCCATTTTGCTAAGACCACCTGCTGAAGGCACTTATAATGCACATATGCTTCACCAAAGCATATTTGCAAACAAAAACAACAACAACAAAAGCAACATACACAACCGTTCAAAACTTTGACCCAAAAGATTTTTTTTTAAAGAAAATAATACTTTTATTCAGCAAATATTTTTGAGCACCATATCAGAATATTACACTTTTAAAAATAAACGTTTCAAAAGTAGGAGACATTTGTAAAGATTCCATTTAACAACTACGAGAACTACCTTTTTATGAACAGTTCTTAAAATAACCATTTTTTTCTTAGTATGAAGAACATTTTTATAACCTAAAGAAACTTTTTCTACTATAAAGAACCATGTTAAAGGTTCTTTATGAAACTACAGATGCTATTAAAGAATCTTTGTTTTTAGGAGTGTAGAATGATTAAAGGATGTGACACTGAAGACTGAATTAATGGCTGCTTAAAAATCAGCTTTGCTATCACAGGAATAAATCACATTTTAAAATATATATAAAAAACTGTTATTTTAAATTGTATTAATATTGAACAATATTAATGTTTTTACTTTATTTTTGATCAAATAAATTCAGCCTTGGTGAGCATAAGAGCATGAACATGAATGTCTAAAGATTGTAAGCTAATAATTAGCTGTAAATGCTGTTATGAGATACCAGTACCACTGTTGTGTTATTAAAAAAAATCGCTTGCATGTCTCAAACCTTTGAACAGTAGCTGAGTAACTGAATTTTAAATAATGTTTAGGTTTATAAATTAAAACTATTTAGTAAACAGTATAACTTTTATTATTGTAGTAATACGTTGTGTTATTAGGGACAAAGTTGCAGTGGAGCAGTGCCATCACCCTGGTTATCTTCATCTGGCTCTTTACTGCCTTCTGGGCCGCCATGCCTCTGATTGGCTGGGGAGAGTATGACTACGAGCCCCTGAGGACCTGCTGCACATTGGACTACAGCAAGGGTGACAGGTAAGATACACAGTTAATTATTACATTCATAATTCGCATCATTTTTTATGATTATATCATAAAACACTTCTCACCAGTGTCAGTTTCACATTTTGACCCATATATTCAAATATGCGTGCTGACCCATATTTACAAACATAAAAAGCAATATTAGGGTCATGGAGAGGTCACATGACTCTCATTTCCTTGTAAATCTGTTCACTGTGAAATAAGATCTATAATGAAATTGTGTCTATCCTTTTACACAGGAACTATGTGTCTTACTTGATCCCCATGTCTATCTTCAACATGGGCATTCAGATGTTTGTTGTGCTGTCTTCCTATCAGTCCATTGATAAGAAATTCAAGAAGACTGGCCAAACCAAGGTAAAGTATCCCCTGTACCATATTAGAATTTGACATGTGAGACCAAAGGGTGCATGAAAAGAACAGAGTATACATTTGCCCTCACATTGCATAAGACTGTTATTCACAGGGTTTGAGTAGGTCAAAGAAACGTTTTGCCTGGGAGCACAAAGGCGTCTCTGCAAAAGCTACTGAACTATTCTCCAGGACAGAACTATTATGTAACACTAAAAAATTGCATGCACACCAATACCAAAGTGATAGAAAAGGAAGGGAATTTTCTTACAGACAGTTAAGACCACCACAGGGTTATTATCCTTAACTGAAACTAAAACTATTAATTACATTTTGTTAAATGGAATAAAGCTGAAATATAATAATAATAATAATAATGACAATTGTTTCATTCTATCAGTAAACTACTCAAGTGTAACATTTATTCAAATGTTTCTGCTTCAACTCACATATGGTTCTTATTTTCTTCAGTTCCAAGATTGATCACACTTGTAATTGTATTATCTCTACTTTTCCTTCGTCCTTCGTCTGTTTTTCCTTTAACCATTTCTGAATTTTTTGGTACTACTCTCTCAAACTTTTCCACATTGGATTTAATTCTCTTTGCAATGAGGTTTCAAAAATGAAAGCTGCCACTTCCATAGTTAATCCTGTACCAACCGGGCTGTTTCAATCATGTTTCGCCACTTTATGTACTGCTGTATTAAGTATCATAAATGATTCTCTGTGTACTGGTGTTGCACCATCAGCATTTAAAATTGCTGCTGCGACCCCTGTACCAAAATAAAAAAAATACTTTGACAATCTTAATAATTTCCATCCCATTTCCAATCTCCCCTTTCTTGCCAAAAATTTAGAGCGAACTGTTACTACTCAATTGCATTCCCATCTTACCGCAAACAATCTTTTTGAGCCCCTTCAATCGGGCTTCCATAACTCCACAGTACTGAAACAGCATTAGTTAAGGTCACTAATGATTTGTTAATTGCTTCTGATTCTGGCTATCTTTCTATTTTGATTCTTCTTGATCTCAATGCCGCTTTCGACACTGTTCATCATTCAATTTTACTTACTCGTTTAGAGTTTAGTCTTTGGTGTTTCTGGGACTGCACTAAGCTGGTTTGAGTCTTATCTTTCAGAACGAAAGGAGTTTATTGCTCTGGGTGGTTGCAGGACTAATATCGGTCTGGTGCAATCTGATGTTCCTCAAGGATCAATTTTGGGCCCTTTACTTTTTTAGCATCTACATTTATCCATTTTGTCAACTTTTAAGATCATTTGGTCTCAACTTTCACTTTTATGCAGATGACACTCAGGTTATTCAGTGTTTTCTCAGTGTATTTCTGAGATTAAAAAGTGGATGTCTAGGAATTTTCTGCCTAAACTGTGACAAGACGGCGGTAATGCTCATTGGTTCACCCCAACAGCTATGTAAGGCTGGGTCTTTAACTTTAAGTATAGATGGCTCTACACTGGAATTTCAAACAAAATGAAAAAAAATTGGGGGTGATATTTGATGCTCATTTAACATTTATTCCCCATGTTCAGAACACTGTCAAGACATAATTTTTTTCATCTTAGAAATATAGCCAGATTGCGTCCTATGTTGTCATTCCCGGTGACTGAAAAGTTAATAAACATCTTTGTATTTTCTCGCATTGATTATTGCAATGCTTTGCTGGCCGGGGTTTCAAAAGCTACCATAAATAAATTATATCTGGTTCAAAATTCAGCCGCTCGAATCTTGTCTGTAAACAGGACAAGTGACGCTCGAATCCTGTCTGTAAACAGGACAAAGGATCACATAACTCCTGTCTTGGAGTCTTTACACTTACAATTCTCATGCTTACTTATAAGGCTTTGCATGGTTTGGCTCCCCATTATCTCTCTGAGCTTTTAGTCCCCTACACACCAGTGCGTGATCTCCGCTCCTCGGAAGCTGGCCTTTTAATTGTTCCGCTTACTTATTTAAAATCGATGGGTGATAGGGCGTTTTTTTCAGAGTTTTCTTCAATCGCTCCAAAACTTTGAAATTCTTTGCCTGCTGAGATTAGGCAAGCAGAATCCCTTAGTCTTTTTAAATGTTCCCTTAAAGCTTATTTTTTAGGGTAGCCTTTACTTGATTATTTTGTCATTATCAAATTTCTCTTTTTACGTTTGATAGCATGTTCTTCTCTGGTATTTTTATTTTTGTATCTCATTTTCTTTCTCATTGGTATTTTTTGTATAATTGCATGTTTTATTTAATTTTATTCTTGTGAAGTTCTTTGCGATGCTACTTTTTTAAGGCGCTACAGAAAATAAAGTTTATTATTATTAGTATTGTACTAGCACAGAATCGCTTTAAGTTTTTTTCTCCGAGTAGTACACATAAAAGAACTACTGAACTGTATTACAGCCTGTAGTATGTAGGTCATTTCATTATGTCTTTGTTGAGCCTTCATGCCTAATTGAGCTTATTACGCTAGTTCTAATTAACTCTTTTTTGTGTTTACTTGTTCACTCATCAAAACAGTAGAATGTTTAATGGTATATATGTTACATCAAAGTTAAATCTGCAGCATGTGACTTAGAAATCCAACTAAGTCTAAATCTCCTGCTTGCTCTCTATGTGCAGTTTAACTGTGGCACTCCTCTGAAGACCATGCTGTTTTGCTGGGGCCCCTATGGCATCCTGGCTTACTATGCTGCTGTGAAGAATGCAACCCTTGTCTCTCCTAAACTGAGAATGGTGAGGAAATCATGTTTGAAGCACAGCACACACCCAAAGAAGATAGTTCATCCCAAAATGAATCATTTACTTACCTTTATGTCTGTAGAACACAAAAATAATATATTGTAAGTTTAAGTCATATAGGTTTGGAATTACTATAATGACAGATTACCAGTAAACTTCACATAAAAACACTCTACCATTCAGTCAGTCATTTTTTCTTTCTTTCTTTTTTTGAATGAATGAATTAAATGAATAGCAGCACACGTTTTGTTTCTTGAGCAGCAAATCAGCATATTAGAATGATTTCTAAAGGATCATGTGACACTGAAGACTGGAGTAATGGCTTCTAAAAATTCAGCTTTGCCATTAAAGGAATAAATAACATTTTAAAATATATTCAAAGAGAAACCAGATATTTTAAATTGTAATTATTGTATTATTTTTACTGGGTTTTTGATCAAATAAATGTAGAGACTGTAGTGTAAACTATTTAACTATTCAATACTGTGTGCGTAAAATGAATCTGTTCTGAACGTATTCTTACAGATCGCACCCATTTTGGCTAAGACATCTCCTGCTTTCAACGTCTTTGTTTACTCCCTTGGAAATGAGAACTACAGAGGAGGAATCTGGCAGTTGCTCACTGGCCAAAAGATTGAGACTTCTGCTATAGAGAACAAGTCTAAATAAACTAAGAATGTGATAACAGTTAATGTCCTGGTAGTTTCTAACAGGTATGACACTTGCTTATTGGCATTGTGTGCTTACAGTGGGTATAGAGAAGAATCACCCCCCTTTAAAATCATCACATTTTGTTGCTTTGGAGCCTGAAATGAAGACGGACACAGTTTATGTTTTATCCAGCTGTATTTACTCAGTGCAACTTATAACATCCGAGTGAAAGATATAACACCAACATGTCAGAAAAAAAGTTAGAAAAAGGATCACACTCTTGTGTCAGTATTTTGTTAAACCACTTTTGCTTTAATTACACCCTTTAGTCTGTTGGGATACATGTCTACTAAATTTGCACATCTGGACTTTGCAATATTTGCCCACTCTTCTTTGCAGAACTGCTCAAGTTCAGTTAAATTTGATGGTAAGCGTCTGTGGACTGCAGTCTTCAAGTCATTCCACAGATTTTCAATGGGGCTTAAGTCTGGGCTCTGACTAGGCCATGCAAGGACATTCACCTTTTTCTCCTTTAACCACTGTGTGCTCAGTTTTTCTGTGTGCTTTGGGTCATTGTCATGTTGGAAGGTAAACCTTCTTCCCATTGACAACTTTCTAGCAGAGGGCAGCAGATTTACCTCAAGAATTTGATGGCATTTTGCCTCATCCATTTTTCTATCCTGACAAGTGCTCCAGTCCCTGCTGCAGAGAAACAACCCCATAACAAGATATTAGCACCTCCGTGCTTTACTGGAGGAATGCTGTTATTTGGATGGTGAGCTGTATTGGATTTCTGCCAGACATATCGATTGGTGTTGAGGCCAAATAATTCAATTTTAGTCTCATCTGCCACAAAATCTTCAAGGTGCATTTTGGCAAAGCTCAGTCGTGACTGCAGAATCTTCAAGGTGCATTTTGGCAAAACTCAGACTGCATGTGGCCTTTCCTGAGGAGTTCCTTTCCTTTCCTTTTTTTTCTTGCACCCCTCTCATACAAGCCACATTTGTGGAGAATTTGTGATATTGTTGTCACATGCATACAGTGACCACTCTTTGTCATAAATAAAAAATTCCTGCAACTGCTTCAGGGTTGCTGTAGGCCTCTTGGTCACCTCTCTGACCAGTTTCCTCCTGGCTCTTTCATCCAGTGAGGGTCTGTGCTGTACCAAATACCTTCCACTTCTTAATAATAAACTTCACTGTGATTCTAGGCATTGATAAAGCCTTTTAATTTTTTTTGTATCTATCTCCTGACTTGTGCCTGTCCACAACTTTATCCCGGAGATCTTTTGACAGTGCCTTGCCACCCATAGTTGATTGTTTGCTTCAGTTGCACTACCAAGGACTGAAAAGCTCCAGGAAAGCTCTTTTCATGCTGAGCTCATCAAAATGACCACAGCTGATCACAGTTGAAAATCAAATGGCTTTGTGTGCCATTGAGTACGTGATTAGCTACACCTGATTTACAAGTCATTTATAGGAGGGGGGTGATCCTTTTTCCAACTCAGTGATTCTGTTTGTTTTTTTTATGTTGGTGTTATATCTTTCACTTGGATGTTATAAGTTGCTTAAGTAAATACAGCTGGATAAAACAAAAACTTCATTTCAGGCTGCAAAGCAGCAAAATTGTATTATTTTAAAGGGGGGTGATTCTTTTCTATACCTACTGTATGCCATCCTTGCTGTATTTTTGTAGAGTGTTTGTAGACATGAGTGTGGAGTCTGTGTTTGTGGTAGTTTGGTTTTTAATATTTAATATAGAAGATTTCAGCAAGTAATACCATTTCTAAACTGATATTTTGACAAAGCACATAAGCTGTTCCTAATGGAAATGTTACAGAACAGGGTCCAATTTTATTCCTATCATCGCAAAGCACATTCAAGAAGAGAATTTGTGGCCATCATTTAATAATGGTTAAGCTGCTTCCATATATACAGTTCTGAAAGGAACCACAATCAGGAACAATATAACCTATTTTTGTGGGTGAACGTTCAAGATATTTTATTGCATATAAGTGCTGTTACACTGTACATCAAAACTGGATTTTAAAGGTGCAATAGGTGATTGTCTTGAGAAACATGTTTTGTTATGCTGGTTGAAATTCTCTTCACATCCCGATAGCAATGATTAAGTTAAGTGGTCTAAATGTATTTATCTGTATTTATATACTCTGTGGAAGGCGTAGGACCAAGAAATGTTCCCTGAGCAGGGGAAATCCGTTGAAGTTTACTTCACTTCGGAACATTCATTCATGGATTTGCGCTGCGCAGCGTCTTCACACACAGACGAAACTTACTAGAGAAGTGTGACATAATATATCTCTGTAAATAAATACTATTTAAATTCACGTCTCGCACACTTTAATGCCCTTTGTATGGAACATATTCGCTCGCTTCGAACTGGAATCATGGCATAAAGTTAGCATTTTCCAAGATCTCCTACTGCACCTTTAAATGTCACAATTAGTGAAAATGTGGCTGCTACAAAAAATAAACATTAATTTACTGCTAGCTTTAAGAGTGCAATACTTTTTACCATCTCTACAGTATATTAATTTATTTCATGTTAACCAGAATGTACAGTTTGGCACACCCAGGAAATAAAGTGTACTTTATTTTCCACATAGGGAAATCATTTGCTATGAGGTAAAGGTCTACATCAAGCTTATGAGACAGAATTAGGCAAGCAACATTTCCTAATCCCAGAAACAACGGTGCTTTTCATGAAAACACATTCCCCAGTGCACAAGATTAGTCAAAAGGACTCACTGCGACTGGAAATGTTCAGACTGGTGATCTAATTTTCCCTCTGCAGATTCTGTCTCCATTTCAACATGAATCATTCTGGCATCTGAAAAATAATAAATTAATGCCAAAGCATTTTTATGTTGGTATTTTTTACACTGTAAGGAAAAAACATTTTGTCAGGTAACATAAAAATGTGTTTCATCTTTTAATTAAAAGTATTACAAATATTAGTAGTTTCACTTTTTAAAGTGTGCATAACAGAAATATCATTACTACATACGTAGATGCCAATGTTCCGTACAAGCCAAAGTAGCATATAATGCCAAGTAATTTCGCAAGAAATAGCATAAAACATGCATATTTTAGCTCAAGAGTGTTTACTTAAGAATTTCAGAATTTAATCCAGAATTTGGAGAATTTTATAACAGACTACAATGCATACAAATACAAACAGACAAAAGGTCACCCTTTTTACACATTTGTACTGAAAAACAAGTACTCAATACTTAATTAACATCTTCATAAATACACAATAAAAAAAATATATATAATATGCTAAGTTGCTGACCTAATGAAATGAAGTTAACTATTGTGTCTTAGTGGATAGATAGAAGTAGAACAGATAGATAGAAGTAAACAGATAGAATACAGAGAAAATATATAAATGAAATTTTCAGAAATGCCTGACAATATACAGTAGCATCAACTATTAAACATAAGGATGCATATGAAAGATACACTTTTTTTGCGACATGCTAATGAACAAATGATAGATATGTACAACTGTGTAGCCTGACACATAATGTCTCTGCAGTGGTTCATGTGTCATTTGTCATGCTAGAATCTGATTAGTCTTTAAAAGCTCTTGTGTCCACTTTAAGCTTGCCTTCCTCAAGTGCACTTCCATTGACCTGTGAATGATATTCAGTGGATGTCTTGTCAGCAACAACATCTGATTTGTGAATCTTACACTCTAAAAAATGCTGGGTTATTTCAACCCAACTTTGGGTCAAATTTGGACTAACCCAACTTTTGGGTTAAAAATTTAATGTAAAAATTTAACCCAACAGTTGGGTTAGTCCATATTTGACCCAAAGTTGGGTTGAAACAACCCAGCATTTTTTAGAGTGTAGCCAAGATGCACAACAGTGAAATAAACCTTGGTGGCTACTTTATGTCTTAACTGAGTTCTCTGGACCAGTCTTTAGGGAACTGGAGAACTGCGAAGATGTTCATTTCCAAACTTCCCAAAAAAGCAAATCTTACACTGGTCAGCATCTTTATGCATTTTTTTTTTAATTCAATTATTTTCACATTTGTACTTTAAAGTAAATTACTCCATTTTCCCAAGATTGACATGGATCAGCTTACTTCACTTTTTCTTCATTTGTATTTATATGGTCCCATTAGTGTATTTTTTCTTTCTTTCTTTGAGGTCACAAATCACTGCTGACATAAGAGATGGCTTTAGCTTCTGCATATATTGATATTTATATTACATTATTAACATATGCCTGCTTATTTCTAATATTTTAAGGATCCTGCATTCAGAAATCCAGACAACAACTCAAACTGAAAACAAACTAAACGCATACTTTACAAACTATTCATTTTGGCAACTTATCTGCATACCATACTATCTGCATGGAAAGAATGTTTATAAAAAATAAAAAATATTTTTAAAATACCCTAAATCATCATTGCAGATGTCATCTAAAAATGTGGCAAATTTGTGGAATTTGTGGATGGCAGCCAAGTCACAAAACCCATTAGTAATTTTGAAATACCGCCGGTATTTACAGTGGTTTTAGGTAAACCAATGCATAACTGGCATAAATATGGAATTTCATTGTCAAGACAGATTACATTTAGAAGGAATGGAGTGTGGTGTTTTTTCCAAACTTTTGAAATCTATTTTCATACTTGGAATATTTGTACAAAACAAAAAGGAAAGACTTCAAAATAGCCTCAAAATATCAAACTCCTGTATATTAACATGAATGGCCCGCAGCTTTGTAAAATCCAAGTGGATTTGCTTTAAGGTCCAGACACGTGAAATAATAAATCACACATGTGATGTCACTATGAGATACAAACGGTTGTTTGATATGTAGTCAGTTTATAACTTGCAACACATTGCACTGACATCGATAGTGTCTGAGCCGCTTCCCTGCAATCCAGAGTAATCAGTCACAAACTTACGATCGGATGTCCAAAGGTTCGAGAGCAGAGGGAAAGGTCAGACTGGCTGCCAGAAGTCATGTATTTTTTATTTGATTAAACAACATTTGAAGCAGATTATTCAATCATTACGCAAATGTAAATGGAAAGCAGCCTGTCATATCAAGAGAACTGCCAGTTCATGCTGCCAGCGTTTTCACAAAGAGTGATAGTCAACACAACATCAGTGAAAAAATGATGAAAGCGAG